TGTGCTGCAGTGTAAGGTCGATTATATGTTAAAGTTTCGGACAAGTCACCCCATTCCTTGAACTAATGATCTATCGAGGACAAACGTGTGAAAATTTTTCACCCATTTGAAAATAGGGTCATGGATTTTGCGAACTATTTGTGGAACCCAAAAACTGGATTAAATGGATATTATCAGTAAAAGTATAGGTCTGGGTTAACTGATAAAATTAACATTGTGCTGTGTGTGTATGGTTCTTGAACTACAATTTCAGACCCTGAAGCCCAGCACGTGCATGGTTTTCATGCCATTAGGGTAGTGTAAAAGATATACGATCCAAAATAAAGGGCCTTCCATACAGAATCAACCAATTTTATTATATAAAATAAATCTTGGATTTCACCTTCAATGTTCGTAAGTGTTGGTCATTAAAGCTATAACTGAAAATGGGAAATAATTTGGATACAGACAGCAAGTTTCTTCTTTATCAGCCTCTCTTTCCATATCTCTGCCCCCACCCCTAAATCTTACTCACCTTTTGCATGGCCATCTGTGTGGACATTTGGATAAAAATCGAAGAAAATGGAGAAAGGAATGGAACTGAAATGAAATGAAATGGAAGGGGTCTCATGTCCTACTTCTCTGTTCCGACTGGATTATGCTAGGTTCCCACTATCACGTGGTTTTAATCGTGGACTGGTGTTCCTATATAATCGCGTTGATCGTATCGAAACGTATCCGAACGTATCTGCACGTACCAGATCGTGGACCCAATGGGACAATCCTATGGTAACTCATCGGACGACAGTGTCAACCAAGCATTAATGAAGACGGGGTGAAAGTAATGGAGGACTGCCTCTATTTTGGTAAAGGTTTTTGATGAATATTCTTGATTTAGATGTGGAAGGATTACATTTAAGAGGTTGGTCACGGATATTACCCCATTTCCTAATGGACATGGATATCATATAAAATAACCCACATTATAACAAGCCAAGGCTTGTGCATGTCATATACATAAATATTATATTCAAATGAAAATAAATATACTTACGAATAGATTTGTTTGTCCGGCAATAAACTCCTAAGTTTTTGTATTTATTATATATTAGTCTGGGGTCAGAAAGCATTATGAGAATGTGATGATTATACATTCATTATTTAAAGTTTTAAATATTGTGAAACGTCCAAATCTTATCCATTATCAATTTTTATTCCATATGCGCACCACAGCAATATCGACTTGTTGCATTCTATAAAACTTACTTATTAATACACATATATTTTAAAAACTCATATTACGCACAGTATAGATTCTACACAAACGTTCAAATGTTATTTTCACTCACATCAAAATTTAATAATTCGCTATATATGTGATCAATGCTTTTCGTGTAAATGATGTAACTTTGGTAATTAAAACTGAACTATGTATGTGCTGGATATGATGTAAAGATTGTGTAAAAGTGATTGGTTGTTAGGAAACATGGTAATATCAATCTATTAACCTTTTAACTTATCGTGTTTAGTAAAATATAGATATTATATCGAACATCGAAATATTTCATATCCTAATCAATTTTATTTTAATATATATATATTTTTATTTTATCACTACAGAAATATCACACAAAATGTCAGTTATATGTGAGTTTCAAATAAAAAGAATAGTGGTATCACAGAAGAGTAGACCTATAAGCATGTCCTGCCCCGCTTTCTTCACGCACCAATACTAGTTTTATAAACGATTGGAGTAATAGCTTGATAAGTAAGTGTTGTGGAATATTCTAGAAATTGTCTGACTTTTTGCATTATTTAAGTGGGATAAAAAAATAGGGTGAATATGCATGTTAAGCTAATGTTTTGCACTAAATGTGTGTGAAATAGCTTTATTTAACGTCTGCTTCCACAGGAGTGATATCGCAGACAAGCCCGTGCATTATAGAAGTAGACTATAAAAAATGGAGTAGTCTCCCATTAGCCACTGACATAAAACTTAACGACAAAATTGGAAAGAACCTGTCTAACACTATATTTGATTTTGACATTAAAGAAATGGTTTTACAAGTGTTTTAAGAGTTTCGGAGTCTATTACAATGTTTTTAGATGCATGTAGACTATATTTTCAAATATAGCTACAGTTTGTTCCATCTCTCAAAACGAGTTGGGAGCCACGATGGCTAGGTGGGTAAGACGCTGGCTAGCTAGAAAGTTCATCTTGATTTTCCGGCGTGGTTCCCCTTTGTCAGTGGTGCACGACAGAGGGCCTGACAAGGACAACTGTCTAGTCTTTCGGATGGGACGGAAAACAGGTCCCGTGTATACATTGGCGTGCACGTAAAAGATCCCTTGGTAGTTTGAATTCGATGTAAGAGTGGGCCATAGATCCGCTGCCCGGGCAAAATTTCCTTCATAGCACACTGTGGCGTATGCCGGTCTTCATAAGCCCAGTCAGAGCAAAACAACAGGACGTTAAACCCTATTTCATTTCATTTCATTTCTCAAAACGGGTTTATTAGAATAGGTACAAAGATCCCTTGGCAGTTGGAATTCGATATAAGAGTAGGCCATAGTGCCGCTGCCCGGGCAAAATTTCCCTCATAGCACACTGTATGACGTATGCCCGTCTTCTTTAGCCCAGTCGGAGCAGAACAGAAGGACGTTATACCCTATTTCATTTCATTTCATTTCTCAGTAGAATAGGTACAATGATACATTTTAGACAACTTTACCCAAATGTGCGTTTAATATTCTTTTTTAAAAAATCATGTATAAATAATTACCAATTTTCCTTGTAAAAAAGCCTTCTGGAATTGAAATTTCTATAGGAGACCAACCAAACCATTTGCCATACAGCTAATGGGAATATTTCAAGTAATTGCATTATCTAACTCGCTAACTTGAAAATAAATATAATCTATTAACATGTAATGAAATATTCCTACAGTTTAAATTCTGGACGTTTCTTTCCATGGTCTACACAGACATCATTTGGCAAGAATACAAGAGTCAGTGCTATCTGTATGTTCAAGACATTACGACAGCTGCTATCGCTGTCGTTGCTATTTTTGGAATCCTCTATTGCGGAAATTTTTAGTAGAAACCTAAAGCCTACACGTCATGGTAAATTACATGCAAATCGCCATTTTGCAATGGTGGTAGGATTGTTTTTATAACGTAATCGGTTGTGGTCACTGTAAATAGTACTGATGCTGTTTCGAGTCTTATATAGCCTAGTAACCCTTTTAAGAAAAGTGTTGACGGAAAGTCAAAAATCGCCGATTTCTCCTCACACCTGTATATTAATTGGAAGTGGTGTTCCAACATATATTTTAACGAAAAGAATTGGTTAATCCTTGCAAGACTTTAATAAAACTTTATTCTAGTCCACTGCAGCTGTTTGTGTCTCTGTGATTCTTGTTGAAAAAATAAAACACCAGGGGCCTGTTTCACGAAGTTTTAACTAAGATAAAATCCAAATTTTAGTAATTTGATTGGATAATATTAGATTGATTTTAGTGCTTAGCCAATCAAAATTGAAGTATCTACTAAAATTTGGATTTTATCTTTAGTTAAAATTTCGTGAAACAGGGCCCTGGTTTAAATGTGCCTTTGGCGATCAGCGTTCACATTCAAAGCTACAATTGTGTCTGGATAACATATCTAAGAGCTTGTGGAATTTCAGAAAGGTATTTGGTCGTCATGCAGGTTACACAATGATTATAATATGCATAATGAATACCAATTCCAAACATCACTTTATACATAGAACTAGAATACTGGTATTCTAGTTCTATGTTAGTATTCTAGTTCTATGCTTTATAGAAGCATTTCAGACAGATCTGCTGAGTCATCGCTGAGATAAACATGTTTTAATTTCCAATGTATGAGTTGTACAAATGTTTTGGTGTTGTTCAAGAACTTAAACAAACGTTCGTCAAAAAAGTATTACGAAATTTCTAAATCAATCAAATGTTCGTTTTACTTGTCTTCACAACACTAGGATTTTGAAGAGGGATTAGCCAATGAAACGGTCTGTTACAGCGAGTTCGTGGCGTGTGATGCACGGAACTGTGGGTAAACCACTAGAAACGTCAACGATGGTTGATTAATCAATGCCTAAGTCATAGGGTCAAAAGCCGTTCGTATGACCTCTGACGCGACCTTCCACTACAATCGGGTAGATCTTCATGTAGTGTAGGTCATCGAAAGTATTAAAAAAACGAAACGAAATATAGATATGTATTATTATCAAATTGTAAATTTCTATAATTATGTGAGTGTAGGGTTATTGATATTCAAAGTTGCATTTATTTTCTTGGTGGGTGTGAAAATGCCTTTTCAAGATCTTTTTCCAAACGACCCAGTATTTGGAACTAATATTTTAAGAAAATGTAAATCGGCTATCTCTTTACATTTTGGAGATTGATTTCCATGTACAAAACAACATAACTCAACTGGTAGCTGCCACTGTGAGATCATGGACTTAGCTTTATCATTGGGATTATTCATGGGCATACGATTTGAGAGGGCCCTGTCAAAGTGGTAAAGCCAAACAGGAGACCCGTTGATGAAAAACTGCTGATTTTATAAAGATAGTAAAGGGGTGTTTTAAAACAAAGGGGGATATGTTGAAAATTTTAACCAAATTACTTCATTCTGAGCGGAATTATTGTCGTTAGAAGAACAATGTAGTCTCGTTTGTCATTGCTACCGTTGTTACGATAATAAACAAAGTCGCCATTATCCATTTTTAATTAAATCATTGACTTGCAATCGTTTTTAAATCCGTTGAAAATCAAAAGCATCCGATGGTCTAGAACGTGATTATGGGCTTGGCATGTGAAGAAATGAAAGATCTGCATTAGGCAGATTTTGTTCTTGCATAATGCATCTTTAATTCACGGGAAATTTGAAATGGAGCCCACATTTCCCATATGGCCTGGGTCTACAACCAATTTCGCAAGGGACTGTCAACTTTTAATACCATTCCTCAAATGAAAGACAAGTTGACCATCGAATGTAGTTTGAAAAATATATAATTTATTATTTCTAATATTCACTTTCTGTACAATCAAACATACTGACCAATACACATGATAAATCAAACCATTCATACATCGTTTAGTTTATTATTATTTATTATATTGTATAAAACAGGGGGAGGTAATAAATACATTACCCTCATAAAATAATGCATAGATAAATTGTGGTTATTGCACTTGAAAAAAGCATCGACGATACCCTGTACACTGTATCCAGTTCATGTCAGTTAACGAAGATGTTGTTGAAATACTTAATAATATATAGCATTCTGTATAACAAACATTATGACTAGTATTAGAAACTATACAAATCATGATATTATGCAAATATTACAAGTGCGTTTGCTTAAGATTAAAACAGGCCTTGTTCCTCACAGACATACGTTGCGGTATTATATTCCAAAAACTGTTAAAATCAGTCTTAAATAAACTATTGACATATCATCAAAAACAATAAATATCCATATGCATCATCAGCACCTTATGAATTTGGCATTTCTATGACAATGTATGTCAGTGATCGGAAATGGTCGTGTGGGGTTCGTTTACACGACCAGTTTGTCTCCATGTCTCTATTTATACACACTTCTATGTACAAATTAAATTCTCCATATATGTGAAAACTACACTACAGAAACATGTACGATATATCAACAACACAATATTAATATATATTTATAAATAACATAAATATTGCCACCAACAAAACAATATATGTATAGGAAAAATCATATCCATAAAAACTATGGATGAAAACATTTATTAGTCTATAAAATAGTTATAACTTTATATTCGGGAAAGCACTAAACGGTATAGTCTAATTTAACAATTTCTAAGTGAATGAAGATTATCCCATTGTTAGTGAGTCATTTCCATTTAATCTTAATCAAGCGGAAAACGCAGAATGAAGGACATAATATATTTGTAATTAATATTTGTCACACTTTTAAAACATCCTACCATAAACTTAAAACATCCACGTGGGATTGTGTTAAAATAAAAAAAAAATCAGTTTTAAAACAATTTCAAATTGTAATTTATAAAAATAGTTTTCTTTGTTAATCACAATCAACATAAACGATTTTCCAGCCGATTGATTCAATCAATAAATATTTTGTCAACCGGTTACATTATGCAATAAATGAATAAGCAATCGGTCGTGATTAATAACATAATTTGTTAACCGATCACACTGGTTCATAAACAAGTTGTCTGGCTATTTCATTAAGGAATACACAATTTGTCCACCAATCAGTTTGTCAACCGATGGCGTTGACAGTTTGCGTTTAGTGATGAACCGATAACGGTGATTAATGTCAACTGATCACCCTGAATATGGATGCTGTTATTATTGTAAAAATAGATCATTTTAACTGATCACATAACACGAGAGCACATAACAATTTCTCTTAAAGTAATGATTAGTGAACCAATCAACGGGTTATTTTCAAAGTACTTATTAAGCCAACTTTAGGGTAAGATTTCATCCATATGTGACAGTTGGTTTTGTGTGGACATGTGCCAGATGGTTCAGTAAATAGCTCAAGTGTCATTTTCAAGAATCTTTGCAAAAACACATATTTATTATGTGTTAAATCAACAACAAAATATTTTCACCACTAACAATATTGAACTGGGATTTACATTATTGTGAATATCTTTGTTTGAAATGATTCCATGCAGTCGATCTATATTATTTATATAACAATACTCAATATATTTATCATAATTTGTTATTTTTAAATATACAAAATTGTTATTCTTTCGCCACCGTAAACATATATATCTCCGAACACTTGTTACCACTCTTATTGTTAGTAACATGGACAAATTCTCATCAATAACAAATTTTAATACAAAATATACTTAGGAAACAACTATTTAATCAATGCACTTTTTGATCTGGGCGTACTAACATTTATCCCAGTTTTAACAAAACAATCACCAGCTCGATCCTTGAAGAATTGGGACGTAACAAGTCTGCAATAACCAAAGGCATGGTATATTTTCATAACAAAGAAACTAAATCAATTCATAATTTAATGATTCATTTTAAAGAAAGAATTTAATAAATTTAAATGATAATGAGAGAAAAATTGAAAGGAATAACCTAAAACTTCAGGAGAATGAAACAAATGCATTCTTCAAGAAGGTTTGCTTTGACAAGTAGTTCCCGTATAAGAACTGACTTCAATAAATCTACTTTGCCAAAACATAATGCACGAACAGTTCTCTTACGAAACAGAAGAATGTAAAAGATAAAGAATACAGAAAGTTTAAATGACTTTTAAATACAGATAAAAGAAGAAAATAAAGAAGACATGGATGCAAAAACATCTGACTAGTCATGCAAACTAGAAATACGTCTTTTAATAGGACCATTTAAAACACAAAACAGTGAAATAAAACGCTAGAATAAAGACTAAGTGACAACTCTAAAACACAAAGGTAAACAAAATAAACATTGAAAAACCAAAGAATCAAACACAAAGTGGGGTGATTTGTAAAGCAAATCAATGCCGTTAAAGATGCATTATGTAAGATTTAGATTAAAATTGGCCGTTCTTGCCATAATAGTTCAAAAATAGATAATCAAAAATGAATACATTGATAATTTCATTCAGATTCCTTTATTCTGGGCGTGGTTATGACTGAAGATGTAGCGTAGATCGTTTATTATCATAGTAACGATATTTGTCAACAGAGCCTAAGTCTCGATTGTCCATTTATTGTTAAATTTTTAAGTTTCGCGGGTGTTCAAATGAATTTAAATCTCGACCATCCGATGATCTAAAGAGTTAATTATAGGCTTGCCATGTGGATAAATGGCTAAATAATAATTTGTGCAACATTTGAAGCCAAAGAAATGAATGCAATAGGCAGATTTATAGCTGTTACATAATGCATCTGTAATAAGTAAGTAGGTATCCAGCCATTCTTCAACTAAACACTATGTTACAACACAGAATGCAGATAAAACTTACTACAATTCGGTGTTAAATTCTTCAGAACACATTTTAAGTTTGGCACAAATTGCACTAATGTTATTGGCAGTGTTAATTGGATTTCTTCATGCTGTGTTATTTAAAGTTAAGAAATGATAAAGAAATATTATGCAGTGTTAACCGGATTTGAATTAATTTTATGCATGTACTTGATTAGAACTTGAATAGACTACTAAAGTTTGTAAAACATAAAGACATTTTTCATATTAGGACTTATAAATAATTGTAAATAAGTAATCACAGTTGAACAGAGAAGCTCTACATAGCGATGTAATTATTGCATTTATTAAAACAATTGGCACTTCCAAGTCTTATATATTGTTTACCATTAAGAGTATTTCCTCCAGGATTGAACTTCTGAAGAAAAGATGTCAGCATTTACATGAAACATATCATTAAAAAAGGAACTTACCGGTACACAAAAATACATTTATACATGTACACAGAGTGAGATTTGTGTCGACTTTGAAAGAATGCAAAATACATATAACGCATTATTAGTTTTTTAGATTCGAGTTACTATTGAGGCATCAGTAACCTCATATAACTGGAAAATGTAATTTAAGCAAAGGGAAGCAGAGGACATGTATGAACGATAACATTTTAAAAGAATATTGAGTAAGCTTGTTTACAATTCGTCAATATTATACATGTTCATGTACGAGGTACTATGTAGCTGGGAATCTGAATGCCCTTCATATATTTGAATAATTTCCAGATAATGCTTTATAGAATATAGACTAACCCGCTATTCATAATATAAATGTATAATATTGGTTATATAGTTATTAGGATTTGATTTGCATTTCAACTTTAAGAAAAACTCTACCTTCTTTGGATGGTATCCTGTTTGAATTTTCACTTAAATCTGGTTCTGATAAACAAACATCTGAATGGTAAACTTTGGCTACGACCATCTCTGTGATCATGGCATCCTCGGATACACACTTTCGTAAAGATCTCATTCTGTGGATTCTTTTCTTGGTCTTGTTTGTTTCGAATGATTCCAAAAGTTCGTGAAAACTCTTAGGTCTCTCGTCTCGGTCAGCATCGTCTATAACAGTCCGTTCTAGCGAATGTCTACGTCTTAATTGCACACTTTTATCTATATCACTACACACACTTATATTTACATTTGTTTTGTCTTTAGCGTCACCTGACGGTCGCGGTTTGTCAATGTCAGGAGTGTTCGTGTTTTTAACAGACGACGGATGCGCGGGAGGTTTCGCGTCTTTATTATTCGCCGTTCCCGCACTGTTCGGGATCTTCGGAGTCGGGGACACCGGTGCAACGTCATCTGTAAACACCGCATCTGACTCGTCCAAGTCAGTGGCATCTTCTGTTATTTCCGCTTGCGTCCCTTTACTCGTAGGGTCGTCAACAAGATCATCGTCCACATGATCATCATCATCGTCCAGCGATAACAAACTGAGATCAGGAGCGCTACGTGTTAAGAGCGGTTTCGTTGCACGATGCCGGTCTTCATCACTAGAACTAAATAAATCGACCATTCCAGCGACTCCCCGTCCATATTTTCTATATTTCTGCCGTCTATCAGCTTGTTTGGATTTTGTTGATTTGTCTTTGGCAGGAGACGTTTGTGTTTCTACCGTTCTTTTCTCAGGAATATTTTCAGCATTCTGTTTACTTGAATTTGTAGAAATAGAAGTTGTGGCAGTATCAGGTACAGTGGACGAAAAAGCCGTAGGCAGCTTGATAATAATTTCTTTTTCGGCAAGCTTTGGTGATTTATCGCCTTGTTTTGATTTCCCATTGGTAGTTTTGTTACCAGTTGCAAGTTTTAATTCTGTCTTTATGTTTTTCTGACTGGGAGGAACTACCTTTGGTGTTTTAGTTGGCACTCTGAGCTTTGTATCTTTACAAGAACCTGATTCCGGTTTTAGCCCAACCATTTTCGATTTTGGTTGTTCAGCCACAGGCAAAAATTTGGCTAGTTTTGAAGTTGCTAATTTTGGTGGCTGAACTTTGGTTATTGGCATCTTAAGAAGTGGTCCTGTCGTTTCTGGTTTCTTTGTTCCGTTCGTACCAACATTTACCTCTGGAACATTGTCCGTTTTCTGTGCTATTAACGGTATCTTTATTTCAACTCGCGAATTTGGTTTTATCTCTCCTTGCATTGGTGATTTACATTCAACATTGGCTTCCACTTTAGAACTCTCCTTGTTGTCCTTATTTGATTGATCTCTTGGTAAAATTTTGGTCTGTTGAACTAGTGTTTTACTTACTGCTGTAGATGAGGCACTTTTGGACTCTTTTGGTAACTTAACTAAAGCGACAGTTTTGATTTGTACTGGCTCCGGTTCATCTTTATTTTGAGAAACCGTAATTATCTTTTTACTTGCAGTTACTATCTCCTTTGGTTGAATTTTTGTTGGTAAAGAGGAGGTTTTTCCAAGTTGTAAGCTACGTATCTGTCGCTGCTGATTACCGACATGTTGTACAGTTCCCATTATTTTCGGTTCATGTTTCACGTTGCAATCGGAAGGTATCGGCGACACGGACGGCGGTATTGGAGATACAGGAGGTGGCACCGGTTGTACAATCTTTGATTTTTTATCTCCTATTAAAATCGATTCAAAAACCAGTTCAGATTTAACCTGGGGAGATTCAGGGCTCGATAATTCGATTTGAATAGATGACTTAGCAGAACTTGTTTTATTTTCAGACGTCTCTCTTTGAATAAGATTTCTATAAGCCATGTCATCATGCATTACATCGGGTTCCTTTTCAGGACGAATTCGGATTCGCCCTTTGGCTGCTGACATCTCCCGCGGATTAAGATAATCTGCGGTAGTGGGAGAGGGAGGTGCAGCGGCGGCCGCTTCAATTCTCGGAGATGATTTAGAGCGCGCTTTTCTTAGTGCAACATCGTCGCCAACGACATCTGGTATTTTGGAACGAAAGCGTTGTCGAGATTTACGCAGGCGCGACGGCGTGTCCGAATCACTCACCGTTGACACAGATTGGTTCGGAGATTTTGATGTAGGTGATGGTATCTGGGTAGACTTAAGTGTAACTCTCATTGGCAGCCTGGGAGAATCGGGCGTAGACTGGGGACCAGATATCCATACATCCTCGGAACTGGTTGTCACAGCTGAGGTCTGGTTGACTTCATCCAGGATCGCTTGAAAAGATTTAGAAATAGCATCAAATTCAGACTGTGTTTGTTTTTCAACATCAGCCCTATCATTAAAAACAGGGGATGCAATCTCAATTGACAGACTAGTAGTTTCACGTACAGGGGGAGCATCATTTAATGGGGCAGGCGAGAGCCTATGGTATGAAGGGTAATCACGCCGATCGGCTCGGTCATAAAGGGTCTCATTCTCAAGATCTAAATTCTTATATATTCTCTCAAGCTCTGTCAAAGCGTCACTTAATTTGGACCTTTTGCTCTGGTAAAAATCATGCATAGTTTCCGATCGAATATCTGGGGATCTTGGCCCGGCAGACGGGGCAAATTTTCTTAATGCAACCAAGATCTTATCAAGATTTGTATCATCAGCTTGAACAAGCTTGCTTTTAATTAATTCGATCTTATTTTCGACATTCTTTGCCAATTGACGTAAATCCTCCATGGATTGACTCACTTGATTCACCTTATTTTCTGATTGGTAGAACCTCTGAGGTGCTGTATTGGCTACTGGTTTACTGGTGGCGGTGATGGTTTCCTGGTACTTCGGGGGTTGTTTTCCATAATCACCGGAATCTTGGTGTTCATTATAAAACGAATCAACATTTTCTTCAACAAGGCCAGTACTCAATAATTTATGTTTCAGTAGATTTGGGTCCAACTCATAATTACCATTTACAACATTTGGGAAGGCTTGGCCTGGTTCTGTCGAGAAGGTGTACATGTCTTTAACCGATACATTTTCTGGGATGTCATAGACTCCTGAACCTCGATGCTGACTCCAGATTTTCTTGGGCTGATCTCTCATTTGAACATTTTCTATGTACATAGAAGATCTGACAGGGGCTGATACTTTGAAGTCAGAAATGGACTGTGTTTGAGACGAGGACTTTGAGTCCAGACTGTCCCTTGTGCTAGTTCTATCCACGGAAGTCTTTAAGTCTTCTATGGCATCTTCTAGTGTCGTCTGACTATTATGACTTCTAGGAGGCATACCCAAAGTTAAAGGGGCTATATTTGGCGTGTAGAGTGACTTAGATCGTTGAAGTCTATCCCGAGAGGAAGTGGTAAGGCGTGGCTGATTCGGTAAAGTACTGCTCTGAGACTGGCTAGTATCTCCTTGGTTTTGGTTGCGTACAATAAATTGATCATCATAGGACGCCATTTGATCACCTTGTTTCTGACCAACTAAACTCTCGAAACTTGTCATTTCTTCAATTTCTTTCCAAAAGGGATCATCTTGAAATGGTATGGTCTGAAGTGTTCGTGCTTTCACTCGTTCAATACTGAGGGATTCTCCTTTGGTACTTTCCATATGCGGTGACCACACATCAGTCTTTTTGATGTTGTCTTCCATATCAGAAATGATCTTAGCCCATTCATCATCTTGTTTCTGTGGTGAAATCTTGGCGATTCGTCTACCTTCACTGTCCTCATTGAAGTTAAAGAGTTTACATAAATCTTTCACACTTTCATCTTTAGACCCAGTCATATCATCGATCTCCTGGTATCTCATATATTTGCTTCCTTTATCAGAGAGGATTGGTGATTCGGTTGAGCTACTTTCAAGGCTACTCTGTCTATCAGCTATCATCTTCTGCTTTAATTTACCGGCAGTTAATGGCGTTTCGGGCATATTTAATGCATAGTGTAATGTTGGAAGAGAACGCTTTTCTGCTGAACTGCGACTTTGTATTGGGGCTTGTGACTGAATGAGGGCACCCATAGAATTGGACGTGGAATGGGCCCTAACGCCGGGGACAAGTTGGAAAAGACGATGAGTATTGGTTTCATGAGATATTATTTGTGGCTCTCCCAGTAAATGGACAGTTGGATCTGAACTGGATGGTTTCATGGCCATTGGCTCAACTGTGTTCCAGCTTTGACTAGAAGTTATGGCTACAGGTCTAGGAATATCACGGGGTGCAGCTTGTCGATTATCATAGGGAGTTAATCCAAACTCTTCAGTTCTTTCTTGAATGGTAGTCAAAGCATTTCCATTAGAAAACGGTTCATTAGATTTTTTCATATAGGTTTCCCACTTCCGGATCCTGTCAGAGACTTCAATATCATACTCTACATCTGAGAACATCCCTGATTCGGTTGGGCGACTGTGAACTACACCCATGGTTCCAGGTGGTAAAAGTTGATCTGCAGAGAGAGATTTGGGTTGTTTGTAGTGGGACATAGGATGCAACTGCTCACCTCTGTAGGTGCTTGGAGGAACTGTTGCAGTGTTTAATTGTGAGTCTGATTTTGATATGTCATCTCTTTCAAAATATTGACTGGTAGGACGTGAATATCCACTTCGACTATCATATGATAATTTCCTTTCTTGTCGTGGAGCACCAAACCCAGAAGACATATGCATAACATTTCCATTATAATTATAGCTATAGTCTGAAGGATCATTAAGGTTCTCATTTGCTATTGTTATCTCAGGAGTCCACTTGTTTGCACCCGGCATGGGAACTCTAATCTCTAGTTCTGATTTTTCCATATGGTGTCTGTATGGTGCAGCTTGAACTATGGGTTTCTTAGAGTATCCAAAAGGTACTACTATTTCTGCAGACCCTCTGGCACGATTTTGTATCATACCTTGTCGTTTTTGATCTGGTAAACTTGCTGATCGGGAAACTGGAACTTGACTTTTTATATTATTTCTTGCTTTTCCCATATTTGACTCTAGGAACTGAGCATTGGACATTACTATCTCATCCAAGGAATCTTCACTGTGTGCACGGTTAAAATGTCTATATTCTTTAGGGCTAACAGGAGATAAAGGACCTTCCATTAACCTATTAGTGTCAAAACGAAGTTCACAAGTTTCATTTACTCTTGGTGACCTTGATGATTGAAGCTGTACAGAATTCATTGGATATTTGACAACGCTACCACGTTGGATCTCCATTGTTTGGTTGGAAGGTGGGTTTACATAGACTGGTTTTTGGTCCTTGTCAACACTAAACCCTGTTTGGAAACCTGATGTTACTCCTATGTGTTGATTATATCTTCGAAAAGCACCTGACCTGGATGCTGGCTCTGGGGCAACTCCAGTGTCATATACAGAGTCTATAGAAGAACCACGAGCAGCACTTAAGTCAAACTTACGTCCAACTTCAGGTGAACTGTTGTACACAAATCTGTTATTTTTTGTGGGTGATGTAGTATTGTCCACAGAGTTTGTTCGTGAATTTTTAAAAATTCCAAAGTTGGCACTTTGATTGTTTCTTCGCACCTGTCCAGAATCTGATGAATTTACACCAGAGTATGGATTTCTGATTGGTTCATTATTTATTAATTTACCGTAAGTCATGACTCGGGCAGTTTGTGGAGAACCAAAAGGCACTGGGTCAGAGTTTTGTTGAGTATTTTGTTGGGGAGGGGTGGTTTTAGAGGTGGTTTGCTGGTATTGTCTTTGCTGCACATTATTATGCTGATATCCGGGAGAAGTCTGGGGAACAAAATTACCCTGAGCGTTACTCAGAACATTTTGATTATGCTGATTATGATAGTTATTATTGTTATTATTAGCACCAAATGGAGTGTTGCTGTATGCACCACTGTTGCGAGTATTTTGTTGGTAATTTTTAGGGACATTCTTTTGAGTAAAAACACTTGGTGATAAAGTATCGGGCAGTTCTATCCTTGATTGCCTGCCAAGACCACTCTGAAGAGCTCGCTGACGAAGTCTAGATATCCTATATTCTGGGGAATTTTCCTCATCCGATGTCATTTGTATATCTATTCGTTTTTTACGTCTTTCTTCTATTTTTTGAAATTTGTTACCCTTAAAGCTACCACCAGTTCCACTGCTATCACTTTTATCCTGTCCTGTGGTACTGTAGTACACAAAGCTATCACGTGTTGATATGTGAGCATCGTTATTAATATTTGACCGTCTCTTATCACTATACGCTCCTGATCGACGCGATCTACGAGACATTAACTGATTTTTAGTCCAAACTTTTGGATCGCTATCGTATGAGTCAGAGTCACTACCAGCATCTCGTATAAAACCGCCGTCGTCTGATATCGGAGGAGAGTATCTAGACACACGTGTAGCAGTTGATGTTTCTTCAACATCCCAATTCGGACGCGAAACATTATCACCTTTAGCGAAAGAATCAGATTGGTGAACTCGTTTATCGTCACGTTGGCGCACTCTGCGTGTTGGGCCTTCACTGCGAGATCTTCTTTTTATTTCTATTTTCTCCTGTTGTATATCTTGCTGCCCTCTGGTGGCGTCATTTCCACGAAAATTGTCACGTCTTCCTTGACGCAGTTGGATTCGACGTTCTGCCATTTCATCTGGCTCTTCAAAACCAGAGGGACCTGTGGGTTTTATGCCCGGGGGCTGTTTTCCGATGCCCCTTAACTTTTCATCTGCACTCTGAAAAATAAAAAAGAATAACAGTTAAGTACTACTTTCTTTTCAAAAATAAAATATCTTAATATACAAATACTTACCTAAGAACGTTTCAATCAATCTTATTAATTCAGAAGCCTGTTGCCAGAAACATCAATTTTTTTGAAAATCGTTGAAGATATATCTGTACAGATATTAATATAACTTTACATTTTGTTGCAGACATCAGATCATAAAACTTATTGTTTTTGGATTTCTGGCAACAGAGCTACAGTTTTGGAATAGGACAGCCATTATAATGGGTGCCAACCATAGATAATATATAATCTATCAACTAAATGTACAAGTAATCACAGAAAAGTTGAACAATCAATTCAATAAATCCTAATAGAAACACAACATCAAATAAACACAACACTAAAAGTACCTTCCAGAAGCCCATCAGCACTGAAAACATTATTACCTCCAACAATATCTTCAAACTAACTACAGAGTAACAACACAACTTGACTACGTCTAATATTCTTATGGCATGCTTTATATCAACTTACAACATTAAAAAACAACAGCTAAAACCTATTAGTAATAATGTATGGTCTGGCATCGCAATAATGTATAGTACATTAATTATTGCATAAAATCTTAATTTTCCTTCAACAGGATTTAGGTTAGATACATTAACAATTAACAGGGGGGACAGGTGGTTATGATTTTATTATGTTTTTTTCCCCGCATTAAAGAGGCATAAGCATTTCTGCGGCCCTCTCCATTTGGTAAAAAACTTGTTTTGGAAATATAGTTACTGTACATCTGCTTAAAAACGCTGAGATGTTGATCTTTTAACTTTCAAGATATTATAGAAATGAAATGGTGTTTAATGTTCTACTCCAACTGTGCTTATGAATATGAGTCCAAGTTAGATGTGTTGAATGTGTTTAATAAGAGAGCCACAGTAGCTCAGTAAGTAAGACACCAGTTTACTAACCAGAAGGTCCCAGGTTGGTGCAGGACAGAAGGCCCATTAAGTAGTAATGTCTAGTTGTTTACTGCTAACATTGATCAAAATTTCCCACATTCCACACTGACTGCATGGCATATACTTGTCCTCATTAGCAAAATTAGTGTAGAAAAGTAGGACGTTAAACCCATTTCATTTAATTTAGTTTAATGGACGCTCATTAACAATATTTTATTCTAAGTAGGTCAGTTTAGTTTTATATTAAATATGATACTGTTCTAAATGAATTACATATATTTTCTTGCTGAGAGTGACAATGTCTCTTTAAATACTGGTATTCAAAATTTGTAGCTTATTAAGTAGGTTCCCTACTTTGGTGTTAAAGCAAAAGTTTATGAATCTGAATTTCTGAATCAAAACAAGCTTACCTATAATAGTAACTAGTTTACTTCTTTTAATCAGTATTCATAGGTAAAACTTAACCGTTAACCTGGGTATACAAGTTTAGACTACTAATTTATCTGTGACCCACACCAATTGTCATCTTTTATACAACCAGGTTACATATCTGACTTATATTATCTATTCCCTATTTTATCATAGCCTCTTTCACAGCCCAGCCAAACATAAATATATAAATAAGCAGGTATTAACTGTGTAGATAAGGAAAGTAAGTAAATTATCTACATCAGAACATACATAAAATAGAACTGATTTATCAGACATTGACATTGGCAGGATTCCAATCTTCTGACATCAGTATCAAAGATTGCAGGGAAATCAATGTTCAAATACATAAAATTCTAATTGAAAGCTATCAGATTTCAGAATGGTTAAAGATTCTAAAATTTTTGGTACACTAAGATTAGTTTTCTGAAAGACACCATTTTCAAACTAACCTTTTACAACATCATGTCGTGGTTTAACCAAGCTGACCATCAGACACGAATTGTTTTCTTTTAAAAGCTCTGCTCAGGGTACATTATCTGTTTGAGGAAAAAGGAGAAAGCCCTATAGAACTTGCAGATTATCTTACTAAAACAAAGTGCCATTTAGAATCAAATCCTTGACTGCAAAGACCCAAACATTGCTAACACTATTATAGTAATATATTCCCCCAGCGTATTGCTTCGATATTTGTTTATTGTGATTTTGGGCATGTATATTGTATACAGATCAGTAGATAAACCCATATTGAAGTCGATGTTTGTGGAATATGTTGTTATTTCCGAATGCATGTATCTGTTATACAAAATGTTACTGCGCCACTAAGCAGTACATTGTTGTTGAGAGTTCATGTGATCTATGCATTACTACATTACATAATAAAGGTATTAGTCTCAACATAACCGAAACCAGATCACACCAAATCCATTATGATGAAAATATGTATCTCATATCAATCAATATGATCTATTATTAATAGTTCAGAACTATTTTCGTTCCTGGATATCAAATAGACAAGAAATGTAAGGCAATTGGAATTACAGACATAATAGAGTAAATACATTTATATCAAATATTCCATCTATTTTTTACCTATTTTATCTATATGTAGGTTAATATCATTGTTTCAACATATCTAATTATCAAACTATATATAGGAGCCCTTATTAATATATGTTTGGTATATATTATCACATAAAGAGTATCCTCTATATACTATCATCTTACATTAAAGGTACAGAAAAGTTAATATTCTTGAAATATTTTTGCCAAAGAGCGACTTAAGCGGTGGACACACTAGCCGAATGACTCTGTTGAATCATTCGGCCGCATCAATCGGCGTCGAAATTCGTCTAGTGTGTCAACTGTCATTCGGCCAAATTTCTATTCGGCCGAATGATTTGCCTGAATCAAACTGGTTTGATATATTTTCGCCTGGTGTCTCCGCTTCGCCAAAGCATTCGGCCGAATGCAGAATTCATTAGCCAATCACCACTCATCATCCACTCATATCGAAAAGTCACATGATTGTTTGAAGACATAGATGCCGCCATGTTTAATAATGAGACGTGAAAGGTGATGCAATCGACTGGTGAATCGGGCAAAGCATGCAGCTAGTGTGTCCACCCATTCGGCCGAATCATTCGCCTAATGTGTCCACTGCTTAAGGCAAATATTACATTAGGTTGATTTCCTTTTGTATCAAATGGGCATTTCTTTAGTAGGAAAATGTGTGGAAATGGTTAAGATGTTCAGACAACTCCCATCCGACATAGTATTGAATATTATAATAATAAATAATTCACTTGAGATGTAGTGATATATGTTATATATGTTTATCAGCTACTGCATAATACTGAAATCATTATACATCAAGTACTCTATGACTGTTATTGAAATATTTCAAATATTTTAATGTATCGAAGGGGCTGTATTTAAAGCATTGCAAACAATGCAGCTTAGCCCCCACTGTGTCCGACCAATACCGCTTAAAAGATGCATTATGTAAGAGCCAAATCTGCCTACTGAAGGTCTTTTTTTTCTGACTTAATGAAATTATTATCATAGCAAACCCACAATCAATGCCCTAGACCATCAGATGGGTTAGATATTAAATGAAATAGCCCACCTGCGCCATTTAATCTGTTAATGTTAGAATTGACAACCAAGACTTTGTTTACTGTCATAACAATGGTACTTGATAATCAAGACTATTTAGGCCAAATCTTGGCAAAACTTCATAACTTTGTTCAGAATGAAATAATTTTTAAACTATTATAGCAAGAATCAACAGCTCTTTATTTAAATCTTACATAATGCATCCTTAAGAAAATATTAGGTTGACAAGTTTGCAGTTGGATTGATTTTACAGTTTAGATTTTCGTGACATTAATCACAAGCAAGTAAAGTTTCTATTTGACATTGAATTCATTATAAATGTGTTTCAATTTGTTTTAGGATTTATTTTATTACACAGAGACTGATTATTGATGTGTACCAATGAAACATGATTACAGGTAATCGAGATCTGTTTATACAGTATTTTGCTTTACAGAACAAGTATTAAATTTATTAAGATTTGAAAGAGATTTAAGTGAATCTGTCAGATGCATTATCAACTTAACCCATGAAGGTGAAATCTTGTGTTAAGATTTATAGGTATATGTAGTCTACTCTCACTGTAAGTACCGGTAAGTAAGTAAATAGATGTGATATAAGTAGTTTGGTAGATACAGCTTTATACTTGTTATTAACATATATACAACTAGTGATTAATCACTTACAATATATTTCCATGAATATATACTTTTAATGTGGGGTTAGCATCAGTAGGTAGAGGCAGGGCAGGGAAAGGGGGAGGGGAACACACAACCCTAGTCAATTCCATATTCCCTTTTAAGACATTTACTGAATAAAAATAATGAACATCAAAAAATCAAAGCAACAGAAAGTAGGCATGGGGAGGATGAGAAATTATGATATCTTTATCTAGAGCAAAATTCGTGTTAATTAAAGGCATAAACATGAAACACATATGCCATAGTATTCTTTTCCTTACTACACATGGGGTGACAATTAATATATTTATTACAATAATTTCCTATAAGCAATTATATATTGAAGAAAACTTAATATGTCACTGTAAAATATACTTGTATAATCCATGTTAGTTTGACATTGTAGAATATACAATAGATTGTACATGTACATGAATCAGCATACATACTTATGATTCACTGAAGGTCTCTCACAGGTGTAGCACCTCTCTGAATCATTTGTTAATAAATTTTTTAATAACATCTTTAAATACTGCTGGCAAAATAATTGGCTTGTGTTGTGGTTGTTTATTTTTAATGATTACGAAACTACAGCAAAAAATTTAATTTAATTTTTAATTCTCTTATCAATGACAAGTGGTATCAGGTGTTCCAGAAGACTAAGGGTACACTGCCTGGTGCATGAAAACAATATCACTACTATTCTACAAATATTTCTTAAAGGATATCGTCCATCTGTTTCTACATTCTCACAAATATGAAATCTACTTGAATCAACACACAATATTATTCAGTGTGGTGTTTAGATGTTTTTATATTTTGATTCTTGTAGTTGTCATCATTATTTATCTATGTTTCCTAATATAGAAAATTGTGGACCATCTCCTTTAATTCTATTAATATTGACTCCATCTATGAACAGATACATGGGCATAGTTTATCAGATCTTTTATATAGATATACAATATTAATAGCAGGAAATAGTTGAAATAAATATTGAAGTAGATTTAATAGTGGTTATATCCTGATTACCAATGAATGGACACCATTAATGGATAATATAACAGACTTAAGTCCTATACTAAGCCAACAGCCACAATTACCCTACTGAACTCTAAATCCATACATCATTAATACTTAATCCTAGACTGGAAAATTGAAACTAATTTTTGAAAGCAAAACAAAGTGTAAAAAACTCAATATACACAAATGATATACACAACTTTTTTGTTTAAGCCAGGTCTAACAGTGACACACAAATATAAGCTCAAATTACGAAATAAACATTTATTTGGAGGGGATATAAAAACATTTTATGAGGAGGTACACCCGACAAATAAATAAATAAATAAATAAAACTTATGAACGATCTTGGAATGCCTAAGTTCTCCCAAACAAATAAATCTGTTTTATAGTGCCCATACAAATATTTGAATATTCAAATTCAAATAGTATTTCAAGGCTATTCGAACTAATTATTTGGTATTTGGTATTCAATGTTGTTTAAAGCTAATGTTGTCTATTATAATATTAATTCAATGCCACTTCAAAAGTATCAGTTATACCTGAAACTTTGGAATGAGGTGGATGCTTTCACAGGAATTTAACTGGTTTATATGGCTTCATGACTAGCATTGAAGTAATTCAGATATTTCAATTCTCAATAAAAACAGTGCAGCACCAATAGTAACAACGAAGACATAAGAGAGTTGGAGAGGACACATCATAACTGATCCACATTAGAAATCTGTCTTTACAAATCTTTACAGTTGGACATGAAAATACAGTCTAATTGGATGTCATAAAATGAGTGACAGCCACATACTCCATTTTGTATTCAGGTAACTAGTAAACCAAGTATCTTTTGTTTTGCTGTCACACTACAGAATGAAATGATTAAAACTGACTAAGAACTACCTCAGGTGTTGTTTTTTTTTTTATCCAGATAGCATCCACTATGTCCTGGATAAGATTCACTTGAAGTGTTAAAGCAAACTGAATGATTATAACCGATTTACTTTTTCGAAGGATGAGAATTTATGGTAAATCATTTCACTTTCTGACATCACTATACAAAATATGCATGTACATATGTTTATCTAAAACCTGCTGATACTATCAACAGACAATCTATACAGAGATACATTAATGGCTATAACAACAACATTAATATACATAACAATATGTACAAAACCTATATCACTACCGGTACATATATCATATAAGTATTTTTATAACTGTTAATAATTCATATACTTACAATGAAAACTATAGAAAAACAGTGCTGAAAATCTGACTGCAACATGATGGATGATTGCATGGACCTGTGATCCTTTAGTTTAGTACTATCAACTAGACTGCTTCACTGTGCAGTTACTACACATAAAACTAATATAGACGTAATTAACAAATAACTTAGACGACCTTTCCACTTAGATTTATACACTAGCTTATTCATTTCACACTGGTGATGTAGACAGTTTTAGATCTATTTGCCAATAACAGACCACACAGTTGTTATTGATTCTTATGGCATATACATACAAGTTTATATATATACATACATGTACATATTTGAAATGTGAAATTAGTCCATAAGTCAGAAACTGGCACAACAAATCATTGAAATTAGTAACATAATGCTTTATTTAAGGCAAATATTTAAATCCATGTTTGTTCTTGAAACATTGATGATACCCAAACCAAATTCTATATCTACATCCAGCAGGTATAATCCATTCTGAAAAGTCCAAAGTTTGTTATATCAAGGAGATATTTGTTCACTGTTTGAAATATAAGATGTCAATAGTCCAATGAGAAGTTCCTATCAAGTCAAATCTGGCAAATAAACTCACAAAATTATTTGAAGTACTACATAAATACATCCATTAAGACAACCAAAATCAATATGGTGGCTCCTCTCAATGCATCGTGTACATGAAGTCCAGCCACCCAGTGAAGGTATTAGGTCTATATGTATCATATTGGCAAATCTACTCATTATAACAAGGAATTTGTCCCAGGGAGCCAATTATTGTATTTATAAAGCAAATCCTAAATGATTTTCCAATACAAGAGAATGAAAATATGGTGGAATATCACACACATCAGAAGATCAATCCAAGCACAGTCAAGTTTTCTCAGAAGATAATATTAGAATTTTAATCTTAAAGACTTCAATACCAGAATCTCATACTACTTTTGTCTTAAACAATAATTCAATTGGGTTTCAGACAAAAACAATTTTATCCTAGATAAGAAAATTTTCATAATTCTGTCCTCTGGAGAATAGTCCCATTTGTCTGTGTTTTCTGATTTATATTAGTGTTTTTGACTCATCTTCCATCCAGAAAAACACATAAAATAGTATGATAGTGTTTAAAGTTGTTGGTTTACATTGGTACAATAGTATTTAAAGCGGTTGGTTAACATTAGCATAACAGTATCTAAATTACCGTATGTGAACAAAGATGCAGTTCTGATAAAATCTCAGTGTATACACATTTCCTTAATCAACTTTAACAACCCTAGTGCAAACACAAATTTTGATCCAAAGCCACTTTGGTTAAAATCAAATTAAATTTCCAAAGGTAAGGAACATTATATTGTATGAATTACACCAAGTTATAAGATTACACACACAGTGGTTGAATAGTAACAAACTTTGTGATATCATCAACTTCTATTACAAGTTATAATTCAAGTATAAAATAATCTTAACTTGAAGACTGAGAAAGCCACAATATCATTTACAACATCCATAACATTAATCCAGTTATTTAAATAGCAGCTAAAGTTCTAGAGTCTGAAGTATCTAGAATGGGGAATAAACAACTTATAGCACAAAAATGATGAACCCTTTTAAATAATTAACCCAATCATAAAATGAGTAATCCAATTCTATGAGCAGAGTGAAACGTTTCTTGAAACATTGGTGTGGTAGCAATATAAATAGGAAATTGTTTACTAGACTATACTGTGATATTATCTTATAATTTGATCGTTTTCGTGATTGGATTAGATATTGATTTGTAGGTAAACATTCATGGTTAATCAAATAAACTTCAATCTTCGTCAGCGCCAACAATAATAATATCAATTTACAACTGGTCTCTCTGGAACATTGAAAGTCAATAAGATTCTAATCACTTTATGCAGTCGGTCAATACTCTAAATATAATATGTATTGAGGCAATTAATTCTGAATTAACAAAAAACAAAACAACAATAATGAACATATTTTGCAATACTTTTAAAAAAAGAAATTAAAATGTCATTAATTGTGTAATGAAGTGCAAATGCAGTGGATTTCCTTTGAAGTTTATAGTTGCATTACAACTCTTAACATAAAATTGATAGTAATTATACTTTCTTTCCTATAAATCATTTTACATGGGAACCTTACTGCAAAAGAGAGAGAGAGAGAGAGAGAGAGAGAGAGAGAGAGAGAAATGGGGTTTAACGTCCACTTGACACAAACTATGTCATTTTGGGACCAACGTATGGTTCAATTTTATTTCATTAATTTGCGAGTGTGTAGTGGGTCTTTAGCAGTGGGAGGAAACCTGAACACCCAAAGAAAACCCATGAGGATGGACAGGCAACCCTACACCTTGCCACATACACACAGGAAATCGAAACCACACCACCTGACTCAATGACAGACCTTATGATCAAATGTGCACGCCCATACTGCAAAAGTTTGACAAGTGTGTCTTGAACAGTTTTGTGAGTAAGATTTGTTGAAATTCATTGGGTCCAGATCCAGACATGGTACTGTACACTTTAGTGGAGAGTAGTGTAGATAGATTTATACAAGCTAGTCTCTTCATTAGTACTGGGATTTGATTCCTTTTATAATTATAAGTTAAAAAGTGAATATGAAGGTAGATATTGACAGATTATCACCTTTTTCAGCTAATTGCTATCTTAAAGTTATTGTCCTATTCAGCTAGAACATAATTGTAACTAATTTTGAATTATAACGCATTCAAAGTAATATTTAGCTCAGCTAATTACCCAGAATTTATGAACAGAACTTAATGTACTCCTTGAAAACAACCATTATATTTTTACCAAAGACCTACTGCCTCTTTAAGATCAAATGTACTTTTATATTTCTTCACACAGGTGGAAACCTCTATTTAAACATATACTGGTACATGTATCTATTTGGCTTTCTTGTTTAAAAGATGGGGTGCACACATTGTTAGCTTTCTACCAAATGATATCTATAATGTCAAATGTTAACTTTTTTAAAATGTAGACAAACATCTGGCAATTGTAGTCATGCCATAACAAATATGTCAGCTATTGTACGTAGCCTCCACTAATATACAGCAGCAGAAAGGTAACGATTTAGTCAAATACAGCAATGAAAACTTAGTGCAGATATTGGATATTTTGTTGTTTGTTTTTTAAAAAGTGTGTACTAAGGAAAAAGAATGCATTGGGGGTGCACTTTTAAAAGTAACAACAAACATAAAGTAACTTGAGAGACTAGAAAGATGGAGGGGGTGGGTGAATGATATTTCATCAAACTTTGGTTCATTTCCCCTCTAATGATATACAAGTATATGAACAGATGACATACTAAAGTGACCCAGTGTGTATATAATGTGGAATCTGCAGTTCTAGAAGTATTCTAGAATATTCCATGGAAACATGAATAATTTAAGAGGTACAAATTTTCAAGTTAATGGCACTATAATGTTCAGGGAACATACATGCCTGACTTTCATCCAAGTAGAAATATTTTGACACAGGTATGAGAAATGCAAAACATAGAAAGTTTTTGCCAGACATAGCGCAATCTTGGTGCATATCTCGACTATAATATTTTCTGAACTGATACCGAAACCAAAATTATTATTCTACAAATTGGTGTTGACCACTACAAAGGTTTACTAATGCCAAGAACTAATTAGTGCATTTGTGGAATGGATTAAGTACATTTTATTGGCCAAAGAAACAATTATCATTGCTTTTTTTTATCTCAGAATTCATGGAAAACATTTATTTTAAAACTAAAGTATGTAGTAATCTATAATGCACTCAGTTCAGATCATCCATCAAAAACAAGGCCAAAATGCCATTATACACACCTTCATCAACTCATGGGAAATAAATGAAAGAGATAAAAGAGTATTTCTGCCATTACCTGTGGACTTCCGACTCGACGTGCTCTTGGCACAAAACACAAATTATTACATATTCCGCTCATTTTTACATAGTATCACCTGCCTTCAATAAAATATATTTCTACTGGCATGTACAGAGTTTGTACCGACACTGGTATCCTGACGAAAACAACAATAGTAGCAAATCACTTAAAGAGAAGTTTTGTTCGTCTGCTACTTGGAACTTGAAACCATTTTATAATATTATTCCTTGATGGTTTATTAATTGTATTCTGTTATGCCTAATTCAAGAAAATACCTCATATTTCATAATTCCTGAATTTTTTACAGATACAAAATATTAATTAACAGTTTGAAGTATCGCTATATAAAAGGAGATCTAATCGTTTAGGTGTGAACTTCCAGTAAACTTCCCATATTATGCTATCTGAATAATACAACATCAATTCAATCTGTAACAGTGCCTTGTATTTTCTGGTTCAACATCTTTCACTGATCCGAGATTTATTTTAAGCCACATTTCCTTTAATCCATTTCTGGCTATAATCAAACCTTCATTAGTTTCATCCCATGCATGATTCACAACTTAGACAAAACTCTTTGTTATCCTTCTAGTTTTTTTTGTATTTCTCATCAAAAACAAATGGTACCATAACTATCGGTACTTCACTTCTGTTATTTCCACCATTGCTGCTAATTCAATTCTGATCTTTTTACCAAACAAGTTTGATTCTTAAACTGAGGCCCAATCGAAATAATTTGCTTCTATAAATGAAATCAGAACCAGACGTTGTTGATATTGGTTAAGACCTTTTCGCTTCGTTTGAATCCAGTACAATTTGATACAAGAAATTAGTTAAGGCCTGATGTTCTCACTTTCTATATATATATATGTAGCAAAATGTCAGGTAGTGCTATTTTAATCTTTTTATCTCCTAGGTGTAATACTGATGTCGAAATTGCATCAAATCTTCTGAGATAAAATATATCTACAATTTATGGCTCCCATGGAGATCAAATTAATAGTTTTCATAGTTTTTTAAAACAATATTTTATCTGATCTTCATTAAATTCTATATTTTTAAGTTAAGAAAAACATCTATTATAAACAAGAAGCTTCAAAAATTGAATTTCTTATATATGTATGTCAACACTATTAAATCATATATTGCAATAGTTCCCACTTTTTGTACTTTTCCACAAGACATGAGTCTTACAA